GTGGTGGTTATGGTTATGGTCTTGGTGGTGGTTATGGTCTTGGTGGTGGTTATGGTTCATCATCATGGGAATCATCAGGCTACTCATCAGGTGGTCTTAGTGGTTGGGAAGGCGGCCTCATTGGTGGTGGTGTTAGTGGAACTGATGCTGCCTTCCTTAATGCTGATACCAATTTTAATGGCACCCTTGATCGAGGTGAATTTCATCAATTGCTTGGTAAGTATTTGTTCGAATGAATCTTGTCATTTTATGTATATCATAATTAAATTGCATTAATCTATTTCTAGCTCAAAATCTTTAAGAACTTATTGGTGCATGATCATACGAAACATACATTTCATTGATTCCCTATTAAAACATCAAAATAGCCAATCAAATATGGAAGAGCCAAAGACTCTAATAGTTATAGCATGGAAGAAGTATCTTTGTATTTGCTTAAATGTAGTGCATTTTCATTTCAGTTCACTATTTCTGAGTGCTTATTTTTATTTAATTCACTGTAGTTTATTCCTTTTTTCTGTATTGTTTCGATATGATTACGCAGTGTTCATTATGAGTTTACCTAATACAGTTTAAAAGATAACGAACAACAAAGTCGTACTTACTTGCTCCATTCAATTTGTGCAGAAAAATTGAAGGAAAAAAGCTATTCATTGCTATTCTTTCAGGTTACAACATAGAACTCCTGTATTTGTTATAAACAGAAGAATAATTAGTTCTAAATACGTTTTCAATGTGATGATATATATCTAATTAATTGACGAAATTTAAATGAAATAAAGAAATTGTTTGAACTTGGTTAGTGTCTTCTAGGGAAAAGAGAGCCAGCTAGCATCGGATCAACGTTGTACTCTTCTATTTGATATTCAAGTTCTACAATAGAGTAATCCAGATATATTGTAAACAGCACGTATTATGGAGCATCATATCACCTAATGTTATTGTTATTTTCATTTACGCTAAAGAAAAAGAAAACAACACTTTGCAAAATCATTTAGCGCAGAAGACAATACCATAATAATCATCGTAGATGTTTACACTATACTTTATTTAGCATTTAGTAAATGCGAATTTAAACCACATAACAAAAAAAATCTATATAGAGATATAATCATTTTTTTATCTAAACTTTTTCTAGCCCAATTTTAACAATACAACCTGTAGGTGTATCAATAATGTGTGTTAAATTTGGTATTCAACACCAATATTGATCAATTTGTTTTGGTAAAAGTAAACCTAATTGTATAAATAGATGAATATTGCCTGTATTCTATTGAAATTCATTTTCTAAAGTATGTTTATCACTTGATAAACGTATATTATTTGGCAATAAATCTTGAATAAAACGTTGTTTTAAATAATTTTTTCTATTGATAAAGATGATAAATTATTCTCATTTAATTATCGTTCAATTAATAAATGATCATCATTTGTAAATATCAACATAGTGCTAAAAGCCAAAATGGAATAAAGGTACTTGATTATAATTTGATATATTATATACAACTATTTCATGTAGCTCATATTATAAAAAATTATGTAAAAATCATAAAAAAAACCATTTTTAATTGATTATACTGGAAAACTAATCACAGATATTGAAATTTCTTGGATGGTTTTAATTATGTCTGATTAAAACCAATTTGATATTGTGTAATATAATCATTTTCAATCAAAAATACTTAAACTAACTGATTACATCTGTATGAGTTTAATCGACTTTTTGTGGTATTTTTTACATGGAAAATGAATATAATTGATGTTTAAAAATAATTGATAGCATGTGAAAATAATTAATAGAGAAATTGTTTTTCATTCTTCAATAAAAAAAAAATTTTAATGAATTTGATATTAATGATGAATGATTTGTGGATTGAATCATTTAATGTTTTTATATGCTTTCTTGAAGATGAATTTAAAAACGAATACGAAAGTTTCATTTCGTTTTATTTCAATTTCAAAAAAAAAAATTTTTGTTTTAATTTTATGAAAACTAAAACAACAGCAAAACAAATCTGTTTTTTTTTTTTGTTTTAATATTTCATCGCATTGTGGTTAAGAGTTTGACATAAGTTGTTATATTTAAACGTAGTTCATTAGTTAAACAATCAGCAACATCAATAAGATGATTTTCATATGAATCAATTATTTCTATAGTGTAGTTTATTGTGTTATTGAATACCAATAGTCAAACATGTAAATATAGCACGAAGTATTTTTCTGATTGTATTTATTTGTTGAATTAAATATTTACCAAATACAAGACTCCAAAGATTAAGATAAGAAATAGAGTTTGATTATATTATAAAAGACGTCAAAGATTAGAATGGTCTAATCATAAGAAGAGATTCATAAAGTTGAACTTTGATTAATTAATACAGCTGCACAAAATTCTATTCAATCTACTTAGAGTTTTTCTAGTTACATAGTATACAAGATCTTGGCAAATATTTCAATCATTCATATGTAAATAGCATCATATTTCACAGAGTTAGATAAGAATTTTTTTTCAATATCGATACTCATGAAAATGGATTTATAATTGTTCAAGTTTAAAACTTTAGATGAATTGTACAAAGAGGATAGTTTGAATCGAACAATGCTCAGTATAATAATCTTTCCAACAGAGTTATGAATATAGAATTTGTTTAATTTTTTCTAGAGAATATAAAGAAATATATAGAGACGTAACTCAGCACTGAAGATGGAAAGAGTACTGCATGAACAGTTTTTAAAAGCAGACGAGTGCTGTCTGGACGAAATTTAGTAATAAGCAACGGTCTCATACCTTTCGCTATCTCCTATAAGTTATGCTGCTAGAATAGTATCAACAATCGAAGAAAATAAAAATATTAGACATAAAAATTAAATGTGACACATCGATTTGTGAGCGTCAAAAATAAAAAATTCTTCTATTCCTCAGACATGTAATTGTTCGTATATTAATACGATCAAGAACTCAAGCGAAAAAAATTATATGTGATACTTCTTGTGTAGGTACGTTCTTTCAATCTACGCACAACTCTCTTGTGATGAATTCATAGAAACCCAACTATATTTTTCAATATCACCTTTCTAAATATATTTTTAATAATTCACTTAATGAATAGTTTGATACTCGTTTTAATCAAGTATGAAATCATTTAGATGTACGTATATACATTATGTACTTAAAATAATTATTTGAAAACCATGTGATATATTTATTGCAAAAGAAATTTTGCAATGAATAAAGAATATTGTCTTGACTTCAATTATATCATTTCATAGATCTATCTTTCTACAACAATTCAAAATTAAACTAAAACTTTTTTTTACAAATTTTGGGAGGTTTTCGGTAAAATATGTGATTTCCTATTAGAAAAAAGAATAATTTGAATACGTAGACTCCTTCGTTTATATCGCGTGTATCCTGCATAAAAAATATTTCGAGTTATATCTCATTTGATAGAAAAAAATATTTTTCTACACAATTGTATTCGTTATAAATGATAAAATTTAGATTGAATCTCGTAAATCTCGCAATACTTGAAGACTTATAAGTTTATAGAAAACCTTTATTTCTCAGTTTTGACGAAACGAAAACAAAATAAATCAAATAATGTTCTTCATTTTCGAAAATAATCAACCACAAGAGTTATTCATTGCCAACTACAATCATATTCTTCTACGAGTCTTACATTAGACTTGATTTTTCAAGAGAAAAATTGGATTGCAAATATTTTTGAAAATTACAGGCATGTAGAGAATTAAGTACTTTACGAAATTATGTACATGCGTACACAATTAGTAGTTGCCTTGAAGACGTCAAAAGCCTATCTTTTCAAGTACACTTTACAGTGTAGGAAGAAAAGAAAAAATCCTTTTCGCGTTCTCCTTTATAACGAGGACGAATTATTGATTTTTTTCCCCTTGCTTCTCACATTGGAGCGTGGACTTGAAAAGAGAGTCTTATAATGTCTTCAAAGAAATTACTAATCGTTTTCACATGAATATCATTTTGTAGAGGATTAAATTTTGTACAAGTGTATATTTAAAAAAAAAATTTTTTCATCTAATTTTCTGATTGAAAAATTGATATTAATGTAAGATCTATAGAAGATGATTGTAATTAGTAAACAATATCTCTCATGTTTAATTATTTTCGAAAATGAAGGACATAATTCGATTCAGTTTGTTTTTTTATATTGAAGGATGTACTTTGAATCAAGGTTTTTTTTTGTCACGACTGAAAAATCAAGATTTTCTGTAAACATATAGGGCTTCGAGTATTTCGAAATTTTGTGGGATTTTTATTTATGTCTTTTGTTTCTGATGAATACAATCATGTAGAAAAATATTTTGTTTACCGAATGAAGAATAAATCGAAATATTGTGATGCATAATAAAAGCGATTCAAAACAAAAGGTATTAGTGCTAAAAATCATGGTTTTTGTATAGAACATCACGTATTTTGTTGAAAACGTCCTTATGTTTAAGGCCTCCCCCCCCCCCCGCCACTCAAAAAAGTCAATTTTCGTCGGAATTTTCAAACTTGAGATAAATACATGGGAAGATAGCTCGTGATCTGCTCTTTCATAACTGATAAAAAGTTTTCCTCGATACCTCCTTTTTGTCCAAAATTTTCGAAGATTTTCGTCACCCCCTATTCGAAAAACCAGCTGTTTTTTGAAAAATCAAAAAATGTTTTCCATTTTTTCTCAGTTTCCACTTTCTCAAAAACGCATCCCAAAGTTCTCCTTCCTGGTTCATACAATGTATCAATATTTTTTTTTTGTTTGAAAGAGCATGTCAAGATGCAGGGAATGTCGTTGTCCTTTTTTTTAATTACACTTGGTTTTATTATACATACAGGCACATATATAGAAAAATCACCACTTTTAACGAGTTTTATTAGGCCTTCAACTTGTCACTTTTGTTTTTCAGATAAAAACTGAGAATTTAGAAAAAAGGACAACGACATGCCCTGCATCTTGACATGCTCTTTCAAACAAAAAAAAATTAAGTCTGTAGAATGAAGACCCATTGAGAACTTTTGGATGCCAAATGAGCTATTTTTGACCCTTGTTTAGTGAATATCTCCCTTCAACATCATGATACAGGGCTAAAATTTTTACCATAGCCTCTCCACTACAGTCCCAACATACCCTAAAAATTTCAGTCAATTTGCATGTACCTGACCCGAGATAGTTTTTGGAGTGGGAGGCCTTAAAAAAAATTCTTTTGCTCTTGCAGATTAATGTAGAAACCTCGGTTTATCGAATGGCATAATCTAAGTCAAGGAAATATTCCTTCTCCGTTGTGAAGCTTCACTCTTGATAAATATTATCACCGAGTGTTCAAATAATTATTTTACATGCTGTTTTATAATATTCAAAGGATATCTGTAATCATTATTCACAGTTACACATAATTTCTCTTCTCCTCTTTTCTCCATACGGCTTGTACTCTATCATATTGACATTGACGGTATGTGTTGCTCTCTCTCTTGTCTTGTGTGACTCATATACGAGTATGTGTTTCTTTTTCATATAGATATGACTCGAGTGATGAAGCAGCTCAATAAAAACGATTATCGATGACGGCGATAGTGCTACTTCTCCAATTCATCACAAAATTTATACCAAATTATATTTCGGTTTATAGGAAATGCATGAATTCTATATTTTAACTTCATTGTGCTGCACTAACAAACTTTTGTTTTTTAACCCTTTATCAAGTGTTGAACAGAGCTAATAAACATAATTTTTTTTTGTTCTTGAACGTGTGTACTATATTGAGTAAAATCACAACCAAAAAATACATGATCACAACGAAACAATACATTAAAAAAGGAATAGCCTATGCCGATTGAAACAAGAATAAGCAATCAGAAAAAATGAAGCGAGAAAACAATAAAGCAGATTTAAACAAATACAATAATATTTCTTTCATGCTATAACTACTATAATTTTTAGATATTGGATTTTTTGCTTGGCCATGTTGATGTATTTAGTAGGCAACAGTTGAAATGTATGTTTCGTATGACGATGTATCAGTAGGTTCTTAAAGATTTTGACCTAAAAAAAGATGAATACATTTTAATAATGATATGCTATAAAATGATAATATTCATTCGAACAAATATTTACCAAGGAATTGACGGAATTCTCCTTGATCAAGGGAGCCATTTAAATTGGTATCAGCATTAAGGAAAGCAGCATCAGCTCCACCAGCAAGACCAGATGAATAGCTTGATGATCCGTATGATGCACCATAACCACCACCACCAATGAGGCCTCCTTCCCAACCACCAGCACCACCTGATGATTCCCATGATGATGAACTGAGTCCACCACCAAGAGCAAAACCAGCATCAACAGCTTCAGCACCTCCAGCAATAAAACCAGCACCACCAGCTAAACCTGCTGAGGCAGCGAATGATTCTTGACCATATGCAGCAGAACTGTAACCAACATAGCCAGGTGCTGACTACAAGTAGAAAAAGATGGTTATTCAAGAATAAAAAACAAGAATACTATGATGAACGTACGATATCTTCAACAACACCAGCAGCACGAGCCTGTGCAAGAAGTGAAGCACCATCAAGAAGTTGAGCACCATAGGTTTGAACATAGGCAGCTGGGCTAGCGGCAACAACACCGAGGCGTTGGAATTGACGAACAATGCGAACTTGAGCGGGTTCATATTGAATAATAACATTGCGAGGAGCTGGGTATGGTGGAGGAGCAGGAGCACGTTGAAGAAGGGTACGACGTTTTGCTTGAGGTCCATATTGAATCCAACGTTCAATGATGATGTCACCTAACAAAAGCGATTAATATAATAGATACAGTACAAAAAAGAAAAGAAACTACTAACGTGGTTTTGGTGGAGGAGGTGGGAGACGTTCGATGATGACTGATCGTGGTGGAACTGGTAAACCAGCCAAACGACGAATGACAGTTTGTGATGCAATAACTGGTGGTGGTAGTGGTGGTCGTTCACGGAGAACGAGTGGTGGTGGAGGAGGAAGAGGTGGAGCTACTTGACGAAGACGAAGTGGGGGTGGTACAGGTGGTTGAGGTGGGCGGACTTCTCTGATGATGAGTGGCTGGAAGAAAAAGAAGAAAAGCAGATATTATTATCTAGATCATGAGAAATAATGAAAATGATTTACGCCTGGGGGTGGAACTGGTGGTGGTTGAAGGAAGCGAACTCGAATATTTTGTGTGTATGTTTGTACACCACCGGGAGCTGGACGACGAATGATTTGTGGGTTTGGATCTTGGTAGAGACCTTGAGCATCAGCAGCATAGTGGGCCTGGGAAACCGCAGCAGCTGATGAATCAAAGGCTGCTCCACCAGCAATGAAAGCAGCATCACCACCATATGCAGCGCTTGATTCGTAACTAGCGGCACCACCGACAAGACCACCACCAACTGCGTATGATGCATCATAACCACCAGCAAGATCAGCGCCTGATGCAGATGATTCATATGCTGCTGATTCATAACCTGAAGCACCAGCACCCCAACCAGCACCAGCACCAGCACCAGCACCAGCACTCCAACCAGCACCAGCACCAGCACCCCAACCAGCACCACCACCTAATGATGCTGATTCCCATGATGAACTGGCACCATAGCCAGCACCAGCACCAGCACCGAGGTTTTGACCTGAAAAAAGCAATAATTATCATTAATAAGTACACGCACAATGATTGAAAATATATCCACTTACCGAGAAAGTTACGGAATTCACCGATATCTACACGTCCATCCTTGTTAAGATCGACTTGGTTGAAGACAGCATCGGCAGCCATGATCGTTTGTATAGTGATAATGTGAATAGAGTACTTACTAGTAAAAGTGAGTAGTGAAGAAAAGCTACTGATAGATCAATGTTTATATAGGCCCAGCCAATCATGCATGGATAGAGATGAAACAAGGGGGGGGGGGGGGTCGGGAAGAGACAAACAACTGTCTATTTTTACTCTGAAGCATTATAGCCTTGGATTTTGAAGGCCGTTTTTTGTACATGAAACAATGATTAGTCTACGAAAAAAAATGCAATACGCACTAAGAGAGAGATACTATAGGGAAAAAGAGAGTAGAATAATTTTTATTCGAAAATAATATTGAATCAGTAAGAGAAAAAAAGAGTGAAGAAAGGTATATACGTTTAATTGCTGTTTATCGAGTTGAATTGAATAACAAGGACGATTTCAGTTTAACTCGACAGACTGTTTGTAGAATAATTGAAAGTTTATATGAATAAAACTATTTTTATTCAAAATGATAAACTATTGAATATGCAAGATGATTTTCTGTTAGAGCAGCTCTGAAATATATTAAATACAATAAGGAAAGCCACAATCGTTTTTTTTCAATAGCAATTGATTTGAACAAAGAATCCACAGACCTCTCTGTTATACTTGAACATATTGTTCGATATTCACGATTAAAATAATCCGTTTTATTGAATTGAAAATCTGTAATAATATACTTATAATGAAGAAAGCATAATCATGTGTGACCTTGAATATGCAGTATTGATGTAAATAGTGATACAAGATTCAATAGAATGCTAGTAACATTGACATTCCCATTCTCTGCAGTGTTGAGACATCAAATCTATGAAAAAATATCTTTATTGTAGCTGACTACTAGAATGCTTTAATACACACTTGTATCTGTATAAGGAGTGTATGCTAACTACACTGATTCCGTGAGATTGGTTGTCAGTGAATTATAACTACACATCCTTATATTTAACTTGTCTTAATCTCATAGAAGAAGCTTCCGAAGAATCTGTGCTAATTTTTCATTGGATCATTATCTATATTTTGAATTATTTCTTTTGCTAATTCTTAATATTAAAAATATCATTTTCTTTTAAATCTAATAATCCATATGAACATGATATTATGGATTTAATTGAAAATCTTCATCTGATCACAGAAAAAAAAACTTATTAAGATTAAACAATAGGATACAAATCAACTGCATTATTATTTAAAGTAAACCTATTATAAAGAATGATTGAAAAGTTTCGACATCTCACTAAATTGATATTTACTAGAAACTTATATTTATTTTATTGATCGAAATAAATAATTTTGCTGAGAAAGATTAGAATTAATATCTGAATAAAAGAAGATACTTCAAAATACATAAATTTAGGACAATGTATTGGCCATTATTATAACTCTTGAGTAAATATTTTTATTTGAAATCTTTTTTAAAAATAAATAAATTACTGTTAATAAGAGTTTCATGTTTTTGGTTGTAAAATTTTCTATAAGACGAATTATTTTAATCAAATGATATTTATTATATAATGATTTTAAAAAAATATGCGTATTGTTAAAGTGTTCTACAATGGGAGGTTTATTTTATGAGTTTTACTGTTTGAAATTTGTTTTATAACATGCTAGTAGCTACATCAATTTATTTTTCAGACACTTTTTTTAAGTTTTATTATAAAATCCTCAGTGTTTATTTCGAAGCCAAATAAATTATATATAGCCAATAGAAAACTGTTCAGGTAGTATTCGAGAACATTTAAGTAAATAAAAATTTAATTCATTACTTAACATTACATTAGACTATTAATATTTATACAAAATATCAGTCTCACAAACTTACCAATCATTTTGTTTTTTTATTGAAAAATATTTTTTTTTAATTTATGCATTGTAAAGTATCTTTTTTTTTTTAGACGATAGCTCTATTCTTTCTCTAGAGAGTCACATATATTTTGATCAATGAACAATATATAAAGTTGTCATATATATCTATATCATCGATTTACTAAAACACAGTTCGAACCTTTTGAATGACCTATTACAAAAATAGATGACTTTCATTTGAATCATATAAAATTATTCTTTTCATTTTATTGAGATAAAAAATGCACTTCTATCATTATTGACTAGTTAAAAATACATCAGAGTCAAATCAATATCTATACTATATAGAACGAGAGGAAACTTGATTATAGCGATATCAAACTATGAATATAATTTAAATAATAAAATTTTCTACAATCAACTTGTTTTTCTTTTGCAGAATTGATTGTTAAAATATTTTATCTTAATTTTATTTTTTATTATAGGGTACTCAGATGATTCTCAACAACAAACACTTTCATTTGCAAGTCAACAACAAATAAATCCAATTAATTAAAATACATTTAAAATGTTTTTAAATTAAAACCATACTAAAATAAATGAATATGATATAAATAATTTCGTCGAAGATATTGAACGAACTATGAAAATTGTTGTGTGAACGAATCAAAAGGGCAATGTCAACTATAAAATATACGTGATGTACTGCAAATACCAGATAATGCTTTATTAAACAATACTGAACAAACTCATGAAGATTCATTAGAATCATTTTGATATAAAAAAAATTATTTCTCAATTATTATTATTATTATTATTTTTAATTTTAAATAGAATGTTTAAAAGATGCGGTCAAAATGTCAATTTTAGCAATGTGTCTTTTTGTTAAAATTGATCATGAAAACACATTAATGCACTTATTTATGCTAATAAACCAAATCTAAGATTATTAAATGATATTTGTCAAGAATTAATTATTACATTGAAGATACTTGTGAACTCCTAGCACATATACTTGATACTTGTTTAACTGTTAAAACTAGTCGCTTACCATCTCCACATACTATTCGAATAATATTAACATCACCAATATTTCCTAGTAAAAATTTCCTTAATCTTGATAAGAAAAAAAACTAATGAAAAAGTAGCAGAATTAAATCCTGATCTAATAGATGTGCTCGACAACAATAAATACTTAAAACCAACAGGTGAAATACATCTCTTCATATAATATATATAGTTCAAGCCAAAGTTTTCTTCTCAGATCTTCTAAAAGCTGTAATTTCACAGCAAATATTCTAATATAATACTTGGACATATGTAGGATAATGTGCAAAATTTCAAATTTAGAAGTCTCGAGCTTCATTGTATTTTTGCACTTCTTTTTAATTAGTGATACAATATTTTTCACGTGCCTTTTCAATTCTCGTCAGAACACTTTCTACTATTAACTGCCTAGCGTAAGTTTTCAAACTGTATCAACAAAGAAATAAAAGATTGTTCTTCAAGGTTTGAGTCTTCACATGAAAATGCAAGACCATGAAAACTCTGGAAATTCAATAGATTTTTTTGTTAAAATATCATACAAAATCATATCAAAATCTCGTCTATTAGTTAGATCTAAAACCATGTTGCTTCTTACTCTCCTTAGAATTCAATCAAAATTAGTAAATTTTCATTACCAAATACTAGTGACTTTAATATTATTCGAATAGTATGTTGAGGTTAAAGGCTAGAATTAACAGTTAAACGCACAATAACTATATACGTGCTTTGACTTGATAAGTATTTTGTATCGAACGTTGTTCAGTAGATTTCGCTTGATTCGAAGAAGTTATCTGTTCATTTAATGGAATCATTAATTCTTGACATATATAATTATGCTATATTTGGTTTATTAGCACAAATAAATACCAATATATATTCATGATCAATTCTAACATAAGGATACATTGCTACAATTGAAACTTTCATTGCACTTTTAAGTATTCGATTCAAACTAAAATAATAATAAAAATTAAGAAATACATTTTTTAAATATTGAAATGATTCTGATGAATATTCGTTAGTTTGTTCAACATTGTTTAATAAAATATTACCTAGTACTCGTGGTACAACAAGTATATTCTTCTGTTGACATTTTTCTATCATTTGATCACAAAACAAGTTTCATAGCTAGTTCAATATATCTTCAACAAAATTATTTCTTGCTATTATTGTACTGTGATATTCGCGTATTTTAGCATCTTTTTTTATTTAAGATCATTTCAAATGTATTTTCATTAATTCTATTTATTGATTGCTCATTAGAATTAAGTTTTACTGGTTGTTGACTTGCGTGTGAAAATGTTTGTTCTCAAGATGAATATTGTTGATAATTATTTGGATGAACTAAAATAAAAAATGAAATTAAGACAAAACATCTTAATAATTAATGATTAAGAAAAAACTTGATTGTAGAAAGTTTGATTCTTTAAATTATATCTATAATTCGATATCACTGTAATCAAGCTTTCCCTATTAATTAGTACCAAAGTGAGCCCTTATGGTTAAGTATTTCAATATTTACATCAGCAGTGCGCATTCCTAGTCAGATCTGAGTACATTCTCTTCATTACAAGTATAGTATTATAGATTTTCAATCGAATAAAACAGGTAATTTTAATCGGGTACATCAAGCAACATGTTTAATTATATCAGAAAACCGATGGTCTCTTTATTCAAGTCAATTGTTATATCAGACAAAACGATGCTGATTGATTTTTGTGTTTCATATATATCAGAGCTCTTTCCGTGAATTATGTTTGATATACAATAAATTATCATTCTGCAGAAAAATAATTTATATTATTATGAACATTTGCTTATTCTATAACTGTCGTATCAAGCTTAACGGAAATAGCTCTCGTTATTCAATTCAAATCGTCGCATAACAATTAAAAATTACAATTTTCATCAATCTTTTTTTCTACTATGAATTCAAGACTGTTTTTGAGTAAGAACTTTTGTTTTTTTTTCAACACTAACACTTTCTCTATGCGTATCTTTTTTCGAGGACTAATCATTGTTTCATGTACAAAAAGAATCCTTCACAAGCAAGGTTGGAATGCGCACTGGCGAAAATATACCGCTGTTTATGTCTCTTCTCTCCCTTGTTTCATCTCTATCCATGCATGATCGACTGAGTCTATATAAACATTAGTCCACCGGCAGTTTTTCTTTACTTCTTATTTTCATCAATAAGTACTCTATTTACATTAACAGTACACGAGCGATCATGGCTGCCGAGGCTGCCTTCAGACAAGCCGATCTTAACAAAGATGGACGTGTCGATCTCGGTGAATTCCGTAACTTTCTTGGTAAGTTGATATACTTTCAATCGTTGTGTATGTATTTAAAAATTATAATTATTGTTTTTTGCAGGTCAAAATCTTGGTGTTGGTGCTGGTGCGGGTGCTAGCTACGGTGCTAGTTCATCATGGGAATCAGCATCATTAGGTGGTGGTGCTGGTTTCGCTGCTGGTGCTGGTGCTTCAGGCTATGAATCAGCAGCATTTGAATCATCTGCGTCAGGCGCTGATTTTGGTGCAGGTTATGATGCATCATACGCAGTTGGTGGTGGTCTTGCCGGCGGTGCCGCTAGTTACGAATCAAGCGCTGCATATGCTGGTGATGCTGCTCTCGTTGCTGGTGGAGCAGCCTTTGATTCATCAGCCACTCAAGTTCAATATGCTGCTGATTCTCAAGGTCTCTACCAAGATCCAAACCCACAAATCATTCGTCGTCCAGCTCCTACTGGTGTACAAACATACACACAACATGTTCAAGTTCGCTTCCTTCAACCACCACCAGTTCCACCCCCAGGCGTAAGTAATTTCTATCACTAATCATGATCTCTATTGTAAAATCGAATTTTCTCTTTTCTTTCAGCCACTCATCATCAAAGAAGTGCGCCCACCTCAACCACCTCCACCTCCACCTCTTCGCCTTCGTTACCGAGCTTTACCTCTTCCTCCACCACCCCCACTTATTCTTCGTGAACGACCACCATTCCCACCACCAGTAATTCCTTCTCAAACTGTCGTCCGTCCATTACCTCCTTTACCAGTTCCACCACGATCAGTCATCATCGAACGTCTTCCTGCTCCCCCACCGCGCCCACGTTAGTAGTTTCTTTGCTTTTTTGTACTGTATTTATTGCATCAATCATTCATTTTAGGTGATGTCATTATTGAACGTTGGATTCCGTATGGACCTCAACCAAGACGACGTACTATTCTTCAACGTACTCCTGCTCCTCCTCCATACCCAGCTCCACGGAATGTTATCGTTCAATATGAAGCAGCTCCAGTTCGCGTTATTCGTCAATTCCATCGCCTTGGTGTTGTTGCAGCTAGCCCAACTGTTTACATCCAAACATATGGTGCTCAGCTGCTTGATGGTGCTTCACTCGTTGCACAAGCTCGTGCTGCTGGTGTTGTTGAAGATATCGTACGTCAATCGCGTAGTATTCCTTTCTCTTCTTAAGTACTAATCTTCTTCTGTTTGTAGTCAGCCCCAGCTGGTATAACTGTTGGTTACGGAGGTGGCACATACGGTGAACAATCATTTGGTGTCTCATTAGGTGCGGAAGGTGGTTCTGACTTTATTGCTGGAGGTGCTGAAGCTGTTGGTGGTGGTCTTGCTTTTGGTGGTGGACTCGGTTCATCATCATTATACGAATCATCAAGCTTCTCATCAGGTGGTGCTGGTGGTTGGGAAGGAGGTCTCGTTGGTGGTGGTTATGGAGCGTCATCAAGCGTCTCATCTGGCGCCGTTGCTGGAGTTGATGCTGCTTTTCTTGCTGCCGATACTAATCTTGATGGTACTCTTGATCAAGGAGAATTCCGTCAATTTCTTGGTAAATATTTGTTCAAATGAATTTTATCATTTTATAGATATTACAATTAAATTGCATTCATTCATTTCTAGCTCAAAATTTTTGAAGAGTCGGTGGTGATTCATCATATGAAACATACAACTGATCAGCTTTCTATTAAAACATAAAAATAGCTAACCAAAAACAAGAACTTCAAAAACTACATTAGTTATTACATGAAAGAAATATTACTATATTTTGTAAAGTTTATTTAATTTTTTTTCTTTCTATTGTTTTCCAAGTACTTGTTGTATTATGAATCATCGTAGGCTAGCATTTTTTTTATCTATATTGTTTCATTGTGATCATGCGATTTTTTAGGTTTTAATTTTAGTTTATATAATTTAAAACTTCGCAAATAGAAAATAATATTTATTTGCTCTATTCAATAAATGATCAAGAATTTGAAAAACAAAAGCTTTTCATTACAGTACTATTAGTTTAAAATGTTCAACTCATGTATTTCTTGTAAATAAGAGATAGTTTGATTCAAAAATGTTTTCAATATAATAATATATTATTAATTGATTGAAGAAAGTAAAATGAAACGTAGCTATTGTTTCGGTTTCGCGATTGCGTGAAGGCGAAAGACAATCGAAAAAAACATTAAATTACAGCTGTGCTGATCTATTTGACATGAAAGGTCGACATTGAAGCAATCAATATGTATTATAAACACAGCACATGTTATGAAGTATAATATTATCTAATGTCATATTTTTATACTACACTTAAAAGAAAAAAAAAACAACATTTTGGATATCGTTTAGCACAAAAGACAATAGCAAAATAATCATCATAAAGATGTTTACATTTTATTATATTTAGTAAATGCGGATTCAAACAACATATTAAAAAAAATCTATATACAGATATGATCATTTTTTTTTTATCTAAACTTTTTCTGGTCCAATTTTAACAATAGAACCAGTAGGTGTATCAATAATATGTGCTAAATTTACTCCAAGAAGATCATGAATATGATAATCAAAACCTAATAAGCATTTCTTTTTCGTATCTCTCGCTCGAAATTCATTCATAGATATTTCTTTATATGTTCGCCGTGATAATATTTGTAAAAGTGTACGTCGAGCTTTTTCTAAACATGTTATAAATGGTGCTAAATTTGGTATTGAAAACCAATATTGATCAATTTGTTTTGGTAAAAGTAAACCTAATTGTATAAGTAAATGAATATCGTTTGTATTCAATTGAAATTCATTTTCTAAAGTATGTTTATCAATTGATAAACGTATATTATTTGGTAATAAATCTTGAATAAAACGTTGTTTTAAACGATTTTTTTCTATTGATAATGATGATAAATTATTTTCATTTAATTGTCGTTCAATTAATAAATGATAATCATTTGTAAACATTAACATAATACCAAAATCAGAATGAAATAAACGTATTTGATTATGATTAAACATATTCTGTAATTCACAATCAATTAATGTACGATTATTTGATGTTAATGAATATAATTGATGTTTAAATATAATTGGTGGCATATGAAAATAATTAATAAAAGAATTTTTTGATTCTTCAGTAAATATTTTTAATGAATTTGATGTTAATGATGAAGAATTATTTGTTGAATTATTTATTGTTTTCGAACGTTTTATTGAAGATGAACTTAAATATGAATATGAACGTTTCATTTTGTTTTATTTTTGATCTGAAAAAGAAAAAGAAAAGAAATTGTATTAATCATAGAAAAACAACAAAATATATCTTTTCTATCGTTTTAATGCCTAATCGAGAATTGTGGATCACGAGAAAATATTTTATCAAATTGTTCAAAAGCAATTAAACGAACAATATTTTGAGCATAAATTGTTATATTTGAACGTTGTTCATTAGTTAAATAATCAGCAGCATCAGCAAGATCTTTTTCACATGGATCAATAATACCTGGACCAACTTTATTTGGCAATAAAATACCACAACTTAAACAAGTAAATACAGCACGAAAAAGTGTTGTAATTGAATTTATTGGTTGAAATTGACATTTATGAACAAGTAATACAAGACACCAAAGATTAAGATATGATAATGGAGTTTGAATGTATTGTAAATGACGTAAAAGTCGAAGAACAATTAAATTATTATTATGATTAAACATACATCGTGTAAACCAATTGGAATGACCTAGACATAAAAAGAAATTCATTAAGACAACTTTTTATTAATTAATAAAACTATGTTCAATTCTTTTATCATTCTCATGAAAGTACACGTGATTTTAAATAGATACATAAGAATTTTCTTCCACGATTGATACTCGTGAGCGGATCTATTATTGTTCAAACTTGCAAAGGAACGTTTTGTGAATGAATTCCTAAAGTATAGATGTATCACATCCTTCATAATTTATAGCCCTGGAAAAAATATCGAATTCCCAACAAAACAAAAGTACTAAACACAAAAAAAAACGAAACCAGTTGATTCACGATCATTAAAATTCAAAAAGCGTTCTATTTATTAAACATATTATAATCCGTATATCGTCATTATCAAAGCTTAAAGAAGAGGAATTTATTCATGATTCGTTTTTGCAGAATCATCCTTCTAATATACGATTGATTGTGTTCCTATGAACTCATGCAGTATCCAAATTACTACTAAATATGATTATTCAAAATTTATTTCAACAAATTTAGTATCTAGTTTTGTTTTTGCTTTGATCGAGTACAAGGATCACAGTGTCAGTCAAAATTCTAGTAAAAGAGCCGTTCAAATAAGAACATCCATCATATAGTTTCCTCAAGACGCTGCAATCCATGCAAAAATAAAATCATTTAGATATATAAATATACGTACATATTTCAGCTGCTGCTTGTAAACATTTATTTTTGTTAAGCATATCTATTGGATCAGGATTTAATTCTGCTGCTTTTTCATTAGTTTTTTCATCGAGATGAAAAAAAATTTCACTATGAAATACTGGTGTTGTTAATATTATTCGAATAGTATGTTGAGGTAAATGGTTAGATTTAACAGTTAAACAAGCATCAAATACATGTGCTTGTACTTGATAAGTATTTGAAATTGATTCTTGTTTAGTAGAATCTACTTGATTTGAAGAAGTTATTTGTTTATTCAATTCAATAGTTAATTCTCGACAAATATCATTTAATAATGTTACATTTGGTTTATTAGCACAAATAAGTACTAATGTATATTCATGATCAGTTTTAAGTGAAAGAAGCATTGCTAAAATTGAAACTTTCATTGCACCTTTAAGCATTCTATTCAAAAATAGAAAATAATAATAAACATTAAGATATATATATATGGGGCTGGTCAACCTGGCCGGAGGCCCCATTAATATTTCTTTATATTGTAAGGATAAAACATACTATTGTTCGGGTCA